TGCACTCCAGTCTGGGCGACAGAGTGAGACTCCAACTCAAAAAAAAAAAAAAATAGGTGAAGAGCCTAAATTGACATTTTTCCAGAGAAGAAATACAAATGACCAACAGCTATATGAAAAGGTGATCAATATCACTAATCAAATAAAAACCACGAGAAGCCGGTCTCGGTGGCTCAGCCTGTAATCCCGCACCTTTGGGAGGATGAGGTGAGTGGATTGCCTGAGCCCGTGGGTTGGAGACCCGCCTGGGCAGGTGAGACCTCATCTCTACAATAAACCAAAAAATCAGCAGGGCGTGGTAGCACATGCCTGTAATTCCAGCTACTTGGAAGGCTGAGGCGGAAGGATCGCCGGAGCCCAGCAGGTCAAGGCTGCGGTGGCCGGGAGCAGCCACTGCACTCCAGTCTGGGCGACAGAGTGAGACTCCAACTCAAACAAAAAACAAAAAACACCAGTATCACCTAATTAGGAAACCAAAGACTCTTAAAAAAAAACACAGTTCAATACAAAGATTCTCAAGAAGATATCTGCTTTTTTTTTTTTTTGAGTTGGAGTCTTACACTCTGTCACCTAGGCTCCAGCTCACAACTACCGCAGCCTCGACCTACAGGGCTCAGGTGATCCTTCCACCTCAGCCTTCTGAGTAGCTGGGACTGCAGGTATGTGCCACCACACTCAGCTAATTTTTTTATTTACTGTAGAGACAAGGTCTCGTCAAGTTACCCAGGTTGGTCTTGAACCCCTGGGCTCAGGCGATCCTCTCACCTCTCCTCCCAAAGTGCTGGGATTATAGACATGAGCTACTGCGCCAGCCAGATCCTGAGAATTTTAAGTTAAATACATAAATATATACATACACTTCCAAATGTAAAAATAAAGTCTTTAATAATAGCAAAAAAAAAAAAGGCTTCACAGAAAAAAATTAAGAGATTAGTGGATTAAACTATGATTTTTATAGGCTCAAAAAAATCCCAGAAAATACTAGGAAAAAACATTTTTTTTTTAAACTTGTAGTCTCAATCTGTTACCCAGCCTGGAGTGCAGTGGTCGAATTCTTATCTAAGGAAAACCACATCACATATGATTATTTTTAGAAAGCAACACAAGCTATATCGATCTTTTTAAAAAGTATTTCTGAGCTGGGCTCGGTGGCTCAGCCTGTAATACCACACCTTTGGGAGGGTGAGGTGAGTGGATTGCCTGAGCCCACGGGTTCAAGACCCGCCTGGGCAGCGAGACCTC